ATCTCCTATGCTGCCTCTTTGTAATTCCTTCAGATGGAGAAACTCAATGAAGACATTGTCTCAGGAAAAGAATGTGGGATTCTCACAAAGGCACCTAAGGCACAAATACAAACCTAAATATGTGCAATGTGCTGGCTGAAATCAGCAAAGGTTAATTCTGTGTTGAAGATTATACACACTTAGAGAGATAGTGAAGAAAGAAATATACTGTAGATTTGTTCTTGTGAAGATGGATCCAGGTTTGGAAATAAAACAAAGTAAAATAAAGCTTTCTAAATATTTACAAGGATATTCAGTCTCCACAGTGAAAATCTGGAGAAAACAAATACCTGAAAGAAGTCCTGCTTTGAAACCCACCTACAATTTCTTAGTTCACATACAGTGGCACATTTTAAAATACAAGACATACAGGCAGTTTTCAGAGTTTCCTCTGTTCAGTTAGAAGTTTATATACATCCTCTATTTCTTGTTTTCTAGACATTTTACCATGAATTTTACCTGAATTATTAAATTCAATGTTCTCTAAGGATATCTCTGGAAAACACATGCTTATTTCAGAGAATATATTTTTTTATTCAAAAATATAAAAGCAATCCCCTCTAGTTTAAGTGACAATGACTAACTTCTTTTTATGTAATGAAAACAATTTAACAAAAATATTACTTGGTTTTCTTTGGCCTTTAAGTACGGTATGTGAGAATGAAATAGATTAATAAACCCATGAATACATTCTCAGGAAAACACCATGAATTGTTTTAATTGTTATATAACAAACTATTAAAACTTTAACTTGATTGTTTGCATTCAAAAGTGCATTAGTATAATGATTTTAGGATGCACTAGTATAATGATTATTCAGAAGAACTGAAATACTGGATTCTGCATTATGTGTTACTTGATTTCATACATCTTATTAATGATACACCATAAAGAATGTAGTTTGCATTGTTTGTTTGCATCATATCAATGCAAATTATATAAACATGGGAAATATAACACAGTCTAGATGAAATTTACTGGTTTCAGACTAGCAATTTGATCAAAAGTCATAGGTGTCAACTGAGGATCAAATGACCCCATATCTGCTCAGGTTCTGATGCATCAGTTCAAGTTCTGACACGCAGTGAAGTTATTTGATGAAAATACAGAAGTCTCTTTTCTGTGTAAACATGGGATTGGGGTAGGAACCTATGGAAAACACTAGGTGAATAGGGTAAAAAGGGCAAAGCAAGAGGAGTCATCATCATCATGGCTAGGTTTCGCGAATGAAGATTTGAGAAGGGCTCTACCCATGCTTGCTACAAGCGCGCTGATGGCTAAAAAGGCCAATGTGAGATAGACAAGTCCAGTTGCAGAAGGCGCAGCAGAAAGACTCCCCAGGTGATATCGACGAGACGCAATTCCTTCTGCATTGTCTTTTCTCCTCGAGAGTGATCCTGCGTGTGTTCTCAAAGCAAAGGTATACAGAGCTTTTGGCAAACTCCATAAAAGAGTGTGGCAAAACAAAACACCTGAAGTACTAAGATCAGTGTTTACAGAGCCATTGTACTGTCTACTCTTTTATATGGATCTGAATCATGGGTCATTTACCACCACCACTTGCGTCTCTTAGAATGCTTCCATCAGCGCTGCCTCCGCACAATCCTAAACATCCACTGGACTGACTGTGTGACCAACACGTCTGTCCTTGAACAGGCAGCAGTCACGAGCATTGAGGCCATGCTGCTGAGAACACAGCTGCGCTGGGCAGGGCACGTCTCCAGGATGCAGGACTGCCGCCTCCCTAAGATCGTGCTCTATGGGGAACTTGCCACTGGCTGCCGCAAGAGAGGAGCCCCAAAGAGGAGACACAAGGACTGCCTGAAACAATCCCTCAGCCTTGGCCATATTGATCACCACCATTGGTCTACCCTGGCCTCCAATCGGGAGGCCTGGAGACACACCATCTATAACGCTGCTGCTGCTTTTGAGAACACACGCAGGATCACTCTTGAGGAGAAAAAGCAAGAGGAGTAGGGTTAGGGAAAAAGCACACTCTGAGTAGCCTTCTCATTTATGTAACTTCTACAGACAAAACAGGAAATATTTATTTTACTCGAGACCTGGATTTTTCATTACTACTTTTTGTTAAAAAATTGTATACTGTCAGGAGAAAATATCACTGGAAGTTTTGTTTTTAAGAATTCACATGAATCGTTTTTCCAACTGACTTAACTCAATGCATTTTAGCATTTACTTTTAGTATTCAGGGCTTTAATGAAGCAATTACAAGATAAAAAGCAATTTTTCAACCTATATACAAAGTTCAATATAGTTCTCCTGATAAAGGCAGTTTAAGGTCTGCTTTTAACCCTGCATAAATTATTTGGGCATCATTTTGCAGCAGTTAAATTTGGCGATTTCAGTGTTTATAACCATATGTGAACTTTACACTAGTAAACCTCACCGCTCTCACACTTAAATTGCTGCAGCAGAGAGTTCATTTCAGCCTAGCTACTCAGCAGACTGCCCGGGACTCTTACCAGCAGTAGTTCACTATCAGAATCAGAGGTGAACCCTTGTCTACCAATGAACACATGTTATCAGCTTCAGATCTAGCTTACTAAAAGATAGCTCCAGCAAATATGCAAGAACCCCACTCATACCTCTTAGCTGTAACGCAGCACACCCACTGCTGTACCTCACTGCTAATATTGTTGATCTACCCACCTCACTCTGCTTTGTGCTAAATAATAGAGAATAGTGAAGCCCTGACCTCCTGGTCTGACAGCCCTACACTGAGGTGTCTCAGAGGCCATTCTACAAACTGTGTCACCATTGCAGAGGGCTGTTTTGCAAAGTTACTATTGAATATATTTATTACAAGTCATCTCAAGAGTTAACCCAACAATGTCACTTTAATGGACGTGTTCTTTTATAGGGGAATGAATACATTTGCTTAGAAAGCAAACTCTCCTTCTAGAAAACAAATGATGAGTTGTCAATTTCACAGTATATTTTAACTCCAGTATACATCAAACTTAAATCATTATTTCTTCCATGGAAAAAAGAACGTAAAAGCATTCCCATCTGTATTACCCAAGGTAAACAAGGTCTCTACTGACTGTAATAGGAGCTCAGGAAACCTAGCGTACTTTTAGATTTCTACTGTACCAAGGTCAGTTCTGTAAGTGACAAAACAGCTAAGGTCACATGCAGATGCCACATACCTGTGGGAATACCCTACAGAGACATTACAAATTCCTACTGCTAAACTGAATACAGCTCCAGAGGTTTCCTTTGTCATTCACTCATGACATTCACATTTGCATACACCACAAGTTACTGAAATTTAGCACAAAAACTCCTAAGCAAGTTGGCAAAAGACTGGAAAGTGAACCTAGTTCACAAGTGCTGCAAGATGAGAATGAAGTCTGTATAAATACCACTTTTTTATCTAGGTAACAAGTGATTTAATATTAATACATATAAGTAGACCTGGAACACCAAAAATATATTACTTGAATTATTTTGTGCAGTTAATGATGAGCTCTATCTTCTGCTGGTTTGATAACATTTACTGACAAGTCTGTATGTTTTTCATGAGTATCACAAAACTAGAGGAACATTGCATTAGGCTTCTAGTAGACCCTGCATCCTGTTCTTTTACAATAGCTACATTTGTGTGCATTTTTTTTCTGAGATTTGTTAGCAGCTTAATGAGATTAGGATCCCACTTGAATCTGTTATTACTCTCACTTGAAACAAAAGTTTCCATCTTCACTTTAACAGAACTAATGTTCTGCAATATCAATCACTGTGCAAGAAAATATTCCAAATCATAACTCTCATGTACAGTAACAGGGCATGGAACAATAGAACACACACTCTCCACTCACAGAAAAAAAATGGGAAAAATACACACATCATGACTAATGTTCTGCCACCTTGAAGGAAAAGTATACTGGCCTGGAAGGTTACTTAAATATTATAAAAGTTTTCATTACCTACGACAATACTGCTACTCTGATAAACATTGAAAGATCTTAGTTTTATAGAAAAAGAAGAGAAAGAGACTAACTCACAGATTTCTTAACACAAGAGTGAACTAATTAAGAGAAATGGGAAACTGTCATGATGTCATTTATTAATATACTTGAGACGTTTCTTATATACATAGGAGACAGGTTTTAATCAACAAAATTTGTCACAAAGGCATTTAGGGTCAACATAATTTTGACTCCTGTCAACCTTTGCAGTATGCATATTAAAATGCTTTGCAGATGGTTAACTGAAAACCATTGTAACATTCCTCTGTGATCATAGGTCATCACTTGCATGGTAAAAAGAACTTTAGAGGTTTCCAGTATTTCAAAATAATTTTTTTTATTAATTGACAATACAAACAGCATAACTAAATCAAAACAAGAGTTAAAATGAGTTACAATTAATTTCTTAATACATATTAACTTGGGGTTTTTTTCCTCTGTAATAACCTACAGCTATGTGATAAAACAATTACATTTAAACAATATTAAAAAGGGTTTGCTTTGAAAAAATTATTCCTAGAGACTTTATTCAGTATAGGAAGATTACCCCTACCTACTGAGTAGAACAAAATAAAAATTAAAATTAAAAAAAGGAATGGAAAAAAAATCATGATATCTAATACCAGAAAAAACAAAACCATTCCTTATTTCACTGCATTTTGCACTTATCACCAGTCTTGTTTTTCTGGAGTTCACATCAAATGAAGACTGAGCTGTTCCACTCCCAGTGCTGAGGTAATTTGAAGTATAAAATATACATGCTTTGAATCTCCTTTCTTTTAAGAGGCAAGCAAGGTTTCAGAAAAAAAAAAAAATTGACATGAAGGAAGCTTTCACTGTTAAGGCCCTCTCAAAGCAAATCTCTACTGATTACTAATCTAGGAGGTGAAAGAATTAAACTTTGTAGTTTGAGACTGAAAAGATTAATTTATATAAGCTGTAAATTAAGAAATAAAGATGAAAAACACCTACCTTCCGGGAATGGATTTCTTTCACATATAGTGGAAGTAGAAATTCAGATATTCCTTCAAGTCGTATTCCTTTTTTAGTGACTCTCAAATTTCCCATTCCATCCTACAATCAATAATATATATATATTCACTTTAGGAAATAACCTTATCCAGAACAAGCTAAAAAGAACACAGTAGTTTGACCTAACACCTAAAACCAATGATTGCTATCCCACAGTCCCCATCTCTCCTCATGATCTTGGAGAAGAGGTAGATGGGCACATTTATAGCCAAAGCTTTACTTAGGATGGAAGTATTTAACTGTGCAAGCTGATGCTGACCTGCCTACTTTATTCCTTGGCTGGACCTAATGCAAGGGTACAACTGTAGATCATCAGTATTCCCTGTACTGTAGAGATGAAACTAAATCCTGAATTTTATAATTGCTAAGTAGAAGTAGTTAACTTTTGCCTAATATAAATATATATATAACGTTGGGTAAAGCAATCTATTCACTGTTATATCTTGAATCCTGGTTTTGCTTTTCCCAGAAATTAAAATATATAAGAAAGTATCTTGCAGGAAGAAAGAAAACAGGTTTTAGCAGTTGCTCATCACTACTGAGAGCACGTTGTTTGTGAAAAGAACAACTTCAAAAATACTGAGGGCTGGTTTTAATTGTTTGGTTTTATTTATCTGAATAGGAAAGGCACCATTGTAAAAGCCTGGATGAAACAAGCAAACCACATGATTCAGTGTTCAGTAAAATATAAACATAGAAAAGTGGCATAAGGCTTCAGGCTCCAGTCTTACAGGAAAAACAATGAAACCTGATTGATACTCAAGAGACAGAATCATTTTGCACACTGATAGAAATTCAAGAATTTTTGTTCCTAGAATCTTGCTATTATAGTCCTGACAGAAATATAATTCTTCAGTGTACAGCCAAAGGAATTCAACTTGATACATCCAAGTGCAAAATTTGCAAATTTAACCTAATTGCTAATTACATATTTTGAAGACATTGTTGACTCTAGTGTAGTGGAACAGTGAGAACTTGCACTTCTACTCTGTTGGCTGAACTGTGAAACAAGTAGCCTCTGCCTACTAGGCAACCATAAACAGCTGGGTAACAGTGTCCCCAATTGCTATGGCTGAATTGTCAAATAATTCTCCTTAAAAAAGGGATGTTATATGTTACAGTATTTTCCTTAAAACAAGTTGTAAGATGTTTATACAGATAATTTCACATAAAACCCTCAGGCACTTGTAGGCTTTCTAACACAGACTGCAATATGAGACAGTGATGCCTGGTTTTGAAAAGGAAGTAAGATAAATTAGAATTTGTTTTCAAATATGCAGTCTGCATTAAAAACAATTAGTTCTTAATTTGCCCAATTCTATAGTAATAGAATATAAAATTGCAATGGAAAAGGATAATCTGAGAAAATACAAAACACATGTATTTTTGGCAATGAATACTCAACAAGAATTAGGTACTGATATGTTAATTTGGATATAAACAGATTTTCTAACTGAAAAGGAAAGTTCAATATGTTGTTTTATCTGCTTCTGTGGAATGTTTTTAACTGACAGGCACAAATGATAATATCCACAATAAAAAGGGGGGGAGAGGAGGAGGAAGTGAAAGAATCCCAAACACCAAAATATACAAAAATGCAAAGTCAAGCTACCAGAAAACTAGAAATGCTGAAAATAAAGTTGCCCAGGAAATTTCCATCTGTTCCATCTTGCAAGTATGTGTACGACAAAAGTTTATAATTTTATATAATATTTACCTTCCTGAATCTCAGCTAATTCCACACAAGGTTGGCACTACTCCCAGTCAGCAGCTACTCACTATTTCACTTTCACCTCAGTATTGTCTTTGCTCCACAGTTATTGTACTCTGTTAAAAGTCTGCTTCAAAGACAGCACTTTCCATTTTCTTCTCCGTTTCTATTGTCATAAGTGTTTATTACTGAAGTTACACAGTTCTTCACAACTATTAATTAATTTTCAAAATACTTTCAGTAGCTTTATATTAAGTGATACTGTTCTTATGCTACTGATAGGGGCCTAAAGTGTGAAGATTAATTCACTTCATAATTTTTTGGTATTTATCATATCTTCTCTGTTTATATTCAATGGTGGGAAGTTAATTTGTACAGCAAGATTAAACTGCCAGAGTCTCAGAAAAAAATAATGAGAGAGCTTACTCTGTCCATAAAGGCTTTCCCTTTTCTAAGCGACATTTTTAAGTCCTCACTCTTCAGTTCTTCAGCAGTGAGATATATATTTACCAGAGTCCAACAGACTGAATACAGACAGAGTATGCACAGACAGAAGCACTCCAGTTTCAGTAAAATTACATTATTTGCTAAGAGAGACTCTACATTCTGAGGCAAAAGTCAAAAATGGTATTATAAAACTGGAATAGAGTAACTTTAACCTCAATTGTTTGATTAATGCAATAATCTTCCAGACAATAACTTCCTGAAGTGTGCTATGACTGATATGAAATAAGGCTGAATAGTAAAATACAGAAAGGAGTCAGATATACTACTACTATTACATGCTTAATGAGGTTTGCCCCATTCAAAGAATCACTGCCCACTACATTTTTTTCATTAATAACTCCCCATCAAGTTTAAACAGGGGTTGGAATAACAAGAGTTTCTTGTTTCATTGAGTAAGAATGATACTGTTACAAATTTAAGGGTTTTCACAAATAAAATAATTTGATTAAAAAATTATTAGTATTAAAGTGATTAATCAGAGGAAGGTCCTTCTGCTAATATTCCAAATAAACTCCATAAAGTTTAGGCTTTCCAGGCAACTAATACTCAAATTATCATTTTGGTGTGATTTGATTTTATTCAAATGTAAAAATAGACTCAAATGAACTATTTCAATATTAACTTAAAATAAGTAAATGCTAAGTTCAGGTACTGGGACTGACTGGGATGGAGTTTGTTTCTTCAGAGCAGCCTGTATAATGCTGTACTTTTGATTTTTGGTTAAAACAGTGCTCATAATCAATGCTTTGGTTATTGCTGAACTGTTCTTCCACAGTGTCAAGCCTTTCTTTTTCCCATTCTCAGTTTGTTATATCATTTACAACTTTCCCTTTTTCTCATAAAGAATATAAAAAACCCTAACAGTGACCCTGCCTCCCTTTGTTGTTTTCCCTACATAAGACACTAAGAAAAACAACCCGTGAGCAGGATCATGTACTTGAACTTACATACACAAGCACAGAGAAAACTGAAGCACAGTAAAAGCACTGGTTATTCTGAACTGCTTAAAACATTAATAAATAACATTTTATATTTCAAGTTTGCATTTCAAGTTTTCCTGTTATCCTTAATAATAAAATACACAAAATATCTGTTTCAGTACTTTATAGCAGGAACAACAAAGTAGATGGTGGGCCATAAAACCCATTGTTATCAATAACAATCAAGTTTTTCAAAAGTTATGATGTTAGATGTGATACTCTGCATGATTTCTGAGTGCATATTTAAACCCAGATTCCGTCTCCAAATGCTCCCTATCTGAAGGAACCAGTGGACAAAACATGGAGGGGGAAAAAAATAATAACAAAGAAGTAGTGTTTAAACAAAGTGCCTAAACACATTGTCCTATAAATTAATAAGCATTCACTATCTGTTGCCTTGTAGGCATCATAGCAGAAGCGAAACATGAAATGCAATGTGGTTGATGTGGTTGCATTGGTATGAAAAAGAACAGATGAAATGTCTAAGTGTACAAACATCCTATGCCAAAGGGAAAAAGAAAAGAGGGTAAGATACCAGAGGAAACATGATTGAACTAATGAAGTAGTGGTGAATTATACTGAAGATGGAAAAAGAATACTGAATTTGATACGATGGCAAAAAAGCAGGTAATGTAGAGGAACAGTAATGGGGATGATTAGGAAGATGAAAGATGTTATCAGCTATGCTGTTGATAAAATGGAAGATGTACACAAAAGGTTAGGAGGAAGATGACAAAGGAAATTATTTGTGTTGTATTCACACATGCAGAAAACTGGATTTATTAAACAGAGTTGAAGCATAATGCCAGCTAGAGAAAAATGGTTCTTGGACATAGTTATGGATGCACAAATGAAGGAAAAACCATAGGCAGCAGATGTCCTGCATAAACAAAATGGGTAGTGATGTAAGTAACAAAACCAGAGTGTATTTTCCTGGATTACCAGGAAATTGAATTTCAATAGCCAAAAATAAATGTAAAACAATAGCAAGGTATCCAGGAAAACTCACTGGAATGGTAAAAATCTGGATTAATGGAAACATCTGCCTTCATTTCATCTGCTGAAAATAATAGCTGACACTTCATAGATATCAGGGAAAAGCTGGGGAATAAATTACTGTGGTACAGTGCAGCAATGTTTAAAGGGATACAGACTAAAGAAAAAAATAACATGAAAAACTGTTAAAAAGAAGGGTAAGACTACTATTCAAACTAACTGGAACTGGGGGAAAAAAAGAAAAAAAAGAAAAATTTTTTCGTCCCAAAAGAATTTTTAATATTACCAGAAAATCTATGCTGTTCTATCAGAAAATACCGAGAAACATTTTAAGGCAAACCTCACAATCTAGAACTCTCATCTGCAGATTTGAGTCCTAGATTTAAAATATTCCTCATTTAGATTTCAGCACCCAAAGAAATGGGATTCCTAATATTTTACAGTCATGCATTAAGGCACTTCTACCTTCTTAAATATTTTCCTATGTTGTGACTCGATTTTCATTACAAAGACTTAACTTACAATAACATCATGAGCCATATCAAGAAGGTACTGAAATACCTACAGTCAAGCACATCGTGCAGTAACTCCGTGGACTGGCACTTAGATTCAGCAAAGTGTCCTTTTCTTATAAAAAAACCCAAATATCATTAAGTATGAGCTATTTTACTGCATCCTTGATTGCACTGTAGCAAAAAGCATTAAAGAAATCAATTTTCAAGGCAGTTCAGTCTAAGGAACCTATTACTGTCAAAACCAAAAGTGATTATTTTCATGTGAGGAAAAAGTGTATCAAACTGGGTAGTTGAACAATTTTGCTATTCAAGTGTGAGTATAAAACATTGCAG